TCTAAATTTGCCCTGTTTGTTTTTCTAAAGGAAAATGAGAAAGCTGTTGATGAATTAAGGAAGTTTTATTCTGCTCAAGCAGTTAAACACAAGGAGAATATGGAACAGGCTGTCAACCACAAGGTACACCTGTATCTGCACTGCAACCTACTCGCTATTATATGATGCATGTAATTATAATATATAGATTTAGGCCAGCCTAAAAGCATAGCTCCTGGGCCGGGTTGTTCAAAGCCTGATTAAGCTAACCCAGAAAAAGGTAGAATTTTGATTTGAGTTTTGTAACTTTGCGGTGAGGTTTTCTGTATACTGTTTGGCCTTCTGTTTTGAGTTTTAATAATCACCATATACACAAAACAAAACAGCAAAAAACATTTGTATAGAAGAAAAAGTTATAATTGGGTTAACTTTTAATCCTGGGTTAGTGTTAACTGGCTTCTGAACAATCCTGCCCAGTTTCCAACAAGTTAACCTAGTATGAGCCTGCAATCCAATCGATAACCAGCATTTGGTCAGCAGTCAACTTCAAAAAAACACATAACCTTGAGGAGCTGTAAACTCGAGCCCACGATATGGTCACGTGATACTGGTCAGCGGGTCATGTCTCTGTCAACCTATTATTTGGAGTATGGTCGTCAAGTTGGGCAACTCCGTTGTCGTGCGTACGCGCCCACAAGCAATTCCACTAGCCACGATAACCATGAGAAAATCAACTCCTGGTTTTCCTTTTCTTTCCTATATGAGTATGGGGCTCTGTTTGGCGGCCCTTTGGGCCGCCGGAGCTCCGCTATAATTATTATTAGGGACTGTAAGAGAAACTGTTGGTTTGAATAGGCCTTGCAGAGAGTTATCCTGTGTGATTCAGCGTATGTTTTATTGTAATTATATTATGCATGTTTCGATTACACTATGTACCAATACTGATTTCTTACAGTGCTTAGAGTTAGTGAGCAGAGTGAGTGGTCTTAAAGCAATGAGGTAAGGCAGTGTATTGTGTGATACCCAGTAAATTTTTGTGTCACAAGAATGTTTGTGTGAGGACAAGTCCCTGGAAATAAACAAGAGACACCACTCCTGACAAAAGCTATTACAGGAGAAAAGTTACTGATTGTCTAAAATCGTTACTGAGTTTGCGACAGAACTCGCTAAAATTGGGGTTTCACTGTCATATTCATGGGAGGCGCTATGACCTCATGGTTAGTGCACCAGTCTCCTGATCGAACAGTCCGGGTTTGAGCTCTGTCCGTGGACATTTTACCGTGTTCTTGGGCAAGACACTACTCTCACAGTGCCTCTCTCCACACAGGAGTATAAAATAATGGGTACATGTACCAGTGAACTTGGGGGTAACCTGGCGATGGACTAGCATCCCATCCAGGAGAAATAGAAACAATCCCAGTTGCTTCATGCTACAGACACTGTGATAAGCTCTGGCTTGGTGGGCCACTTGGCTTGTATGCAGACTTAACCTACTGTCATATTCAGAAGATCTATAAGCACCCTAGAGTACTACCTGTAAAACGAATATATCAATTTCATTCCCATGTTGTCACTTACGTCTTGTGATGCCTTCAAGTTATTATTTCTTCTGTAGTGCGATGTTGTCTTTTTACCTTTTTATTGCTGCATTAAGTTCTTCTTTGGTGTCACTTGCTCACAGAGACACCACTCTTGGAAATGGAAGGACTTCTGTGGTGATCAGGGAAGCAATAGACTTGACAAGAAAAAACAGGGTTGATTTGGAGTCATTGAAATCCTTGTGTCAGGTAAAGAGCAAGTACTTGCATAAGAATAGAAAATGAGCTTTGGGGCAGATTACATGTAACCAATCTGCATGTAAACCAAACAAGTACATGTGGTATTAATTTGAAGTAAATGTTAAAAATACTGTTAAAAAGACGCTTAATGGCAGTATAAATCAACCGATGTTTCGGCATTACTGCCTTCTTCAGGGTGTATTGATTTGATCCCTTTAGGAATGGCCCTCTTCAGAAGGTTTTATTGACATTTTCTATTTGATCAAAAAATTCTGGAAATTACAAAAATTTTCAAATGTTTGGTTTTCCATAATGTAGTTAGCAGAAACATTTCCAATATAGTACTGTCAACCAGAAAATACTGTTCCATTATTTTGTTAATGGAAATTTCCCAAATTCAAACTATAATGCTTGAAAAAAATTGGGTGTACTCTGTGAGAACATACAGCCTTCCAGACCAGTAGCAGTAGTACATGACTGTATTTGACTATAAATTTGCTTGTTACATCTAGGTGCGTGAGTCTGAGAGTAATCTCCAAAAAGCCCAGGAGTGTTTAAGTCAGTGTAAAGACAAGGTAATGTTGTGTATACTCAGTGTAGCCAGGTAAATATGTTTCAACAGCTCTGGTATTGATTTTGCAAATTGAAAATGGGACACGGAAGTGGTAATTTGTTGACATTACCGGTAATAATGTTGTTGATGCAGAATAAATTCTTTTCATGGACAGTTACCTCATAACAAAGAGGTCATTGGGCTTATGGTGAGCACCAAAAAATGAGAACTCCTTCATTATTATTGATTGCTTATAATGTAAAAATTGTGACTTCATGAACATCCACGGGTTCCCTGCAAGTGCTTTACTGTAATTTCCTCCTTCACTTCAGCAGTGACAGAATGTCCAATGGACCTCCCTATATTTTGTTGTGACCAAAAAGGTACACGTACATGTAGCATTCTCTGGGAACAAGCTTGACAATATCTCTGTACTTTTGGTAGTGAAATAACGTTACAAGGCAAAGCCACGTCCTGTTTGTTACTTATTGGCAAATCCCCATTGTTATGTGAACAGTGTGACCTTATTTTTAGATTTGGCATTTATAATGTATAACCCATAGGTTGAAGAACAGTGTCATGTAGTTTCACATACAAATTAAATGAGCTGTATCAATACTTTGAATATTAATTAATTTTTGCATTGCTTCTGCTGTAGGAGTTGTTAGCAGCTGACATTGTTGCTCAGAGAGACAAGGCAAGAAAAGAGTTATTTTACTCGATTGATTTGTTTTGCCAGGAAGTGGATTTGATACCTCTTCAAGAGCGAGAAAAGTCCTTACAGGTAATGGGATCCTGTTGAATGAAAAATCTAAAAATAGTTAGTTGCCTATTTTTGGCTTCAAACATGATACTAG